AATCATTTGATTTGTTGACATCGTCTGAATCCATCCCAAATATATTTTTACGCACTGCCTTTGTGATCTCTGCAGATTTTTGAACACGATAATTCATACTTCTCATACTTCTCGATGAAATTGGTGATAACTGTAAGGTTGAAGCTATACAATTGAATTGCTTCACATTATATGGACCTTGGATCTGATCCGCTGATGGGATTGATTCTAGTGATGGATCTGTATCTGTAAAATTAAAGAAAAGAAAAAAAAAAATATTACCACACATTAATATATAACGCTGTTAAGGTGATAGTACCATGAACGGGGGTGGTTTTGATAATAGGGGTAACTTTGGTAATGCAGCTAAGCCAAAAATTTATGACTTAAGGCACATCGTACGCAATATTTTGGATAGGAAACCGATGTTCCCTTCCAAAATAATGAATACGAAGAGCATTAAGTCATAACTTTTTGGATTAGTTGCATTATCAAAGTTACCTCCATTATCAAAGACATCCCCGTTTACGGTACATCGAAGCCGCATCTGAATTTTCCCCATGTTTGTGGAGCACGAGCTGCATAAACCGCATATCGTACAGTCGTGAAAATTTGATAGATTGTTCACCGAGGTTGGCCTACCAATCGATCAAATTTGTACGATAAGCGGTTCATCCAGCTCGTGCTCTAAAAAAATGTTGAAAATGAAGTTGTATCTTCGATGTACAATCCTTAAACCACACAGTTGAAACAGTTAAAGTTATTATTATTTACCTAGTGTATCATCAAATTCCTGATGTTCTGATTGCTGATGACTTGTTGATGGTTGCGGCTCTTCAAACTTCCGAGCATGGCTTGATTCTTTTCCATCCGATCGCCTCTTTTTCGGGAGAGGTGTCCTATTGTGCACTAAAATTCCACGACACGATTCACAAATACGCATTGTTACATCCAATTGATGATCAAATCCCCATGAATGTATTTTCTCTATGAGACTTGATGATAAATTACGTAAATTATTGCGGCTGCAATTGGGATTGTTTATGTTGGCACTACATTGCACCCTTTTAATAATCAATTCAGCAGATTTTTCCATTGTTGTATATATAAACACTTTTTCGTTTCAACAACTATGCAGCACTACACTTTCAACAACTATGCACTACAGCAACTATGAGCATTGTTGTGATATCACCAAACTTAAATATTAGATTATGTCGGTAGAAACAGACTGCGGTGCTTTAAGTTTATACCTTATATCTCTCATGTGACTACCTGCGTTGTTATATAACTGCTATATAGCAGGTAACTTAACGATTATTTTAGGCATGCCTTAAATAATCGTTAAGTTACCTGCGCTATTATATGTATTCACTTGAGAGATGAGGTATAAACATATATGCATATTGCTTACTAATGGACACACCTAATACATAAAAATAAATGAATGATTATTTTTCTAATTAAATTAATCACAAATACATGAATTGAAATCTTTTCATGAATAAAACATACTAAGTGATTTTTACTTAGTTTACCTGTTGATTTGGAACAATTTGAGGGTGGTTTTATAGAAGTTGGATAGAGTGTATGCATATATTATAATACAATCCATCACAGGAAAGTGCAAACCATGCTGAGATGGCTGTTCCTCATTAGAACGTTTTGTTCTGAACTCTTATTGGACGATTGACAGGTAACTTCTCTGTACCCTTTTCAAATGTTAGGCTAGATTTCGCCCAGATTATCGAAAAGTATACCCATAAAGTTTAATCGAATTTTAATAAGGTTGTGCGCGTATTACTATTCGACTTTGAGTGAAACACGCTAAAAAAAATTAACATGAAAAAGTTGTTGTTCGAACAACTTTTTTTCCTTAAAAGCGCCCACTTTGCGATGTATGAAGAAAAGTTAGGTAATTATATTGCCTTTCATGAGAAAAAATATCAAGCAAATCTGAGGGGTACCATTTTTGGGAAAATGACTTTTAATTTTTAAATATATTTTTTTAGAGTGTAGAAACCGATTTTTTATTTTATTTAAATTTTTTTATAAAATTTTAGATTATTTGCTAAAAGTTCGCCATACATCACTTTTTTGTAGGGCTTGTCATTTTTAAGCTATATCGATTTGAAAAAAAAATCGACAAAAAACTTTGACCCTTATCAAATGTTAGGCGAGATAAATTTTGAAAAAAATAAGTACGCAAAGTTGCTTAAAATTACTAAGTCTCCACACCCACAAAGTTCCATAAGGTTCTGAGAGGGTGCTGCCAACCACTGGATGAGTTGGCGTGAAATCCGTCCTTTACATAAGAATCCATGGTGCGAAGCAATCTTAAAACGCGTTCTTAATTGCGTCGGCCATTTCTCTCGACAGTAACAGGGTCCGTTCGAATACGGATGTTTTGGCCATTTTCGAAATGTTGAAAATTATGAATAACCGGTTGAAAAAACTTCTTCGCTCCGATAAGGCTCAAACGAATTAACTTTTCAGAGCCGAGGATTCATGGACACTATACAATACGTCTTAAAACTATAGTCAAAAGGTACAACAAAATAAACACTTTATCTTCCGTTATCCAAAATGCCTCCTCCATCAGAACTGGAGCCGCTTCTAGTGGTTTCATTGTATGGCAGTTACGCCAACGAGGGTCAGAGCGCTTCCATTGCAGCAATGGACGCAAAAAGTGGTCAGCACTCACACACTCACCACTAAACGGTTGCTTTCCAAAGTCGACGACGCATCGACCGAAAGAACTGCTGATGAAGAACAATGAGGAGGCCTACGCAATGGTTGCAGCCGAGATAACAGACGATCGCGTGGCACACATCGAGAGTGGCCTGCTTTTGTCGACAGCCGAGTGAACACTGGGATGGGGGATGAAATTGAATAAAACAAATTTTATAAATCATAACTCATTTGTAGTTTTCCATTCCCTGAAAATTTCAAGAAAATCTGATAAACGGTTTAATTTTGGTGAGTAAATATGTGTGTTCCATTTTCATCAAATACACCCTTTATTCCATTAAACTTCTCGTGCATTTTTCTTGATGTTGATTTAAATTACAGTAGAAGTAACTTATTTCCTCAATTTACTCCATTTCCTTTCATTGACATGTCAATTTCCTCACACTTATTATTTATTTTTTTGACTGTTTCTGGACTTTCCGTTCGGGATATTTCCACATATGAAGCACTTGTCTGTAATCCTCCGTAATAGAATATATTCCCCGTGCACACTTCAATGCCCATCCCTTCTCCGTTGAACATTTGTTATGGATAACACGTTTAACCAATCGCTTGATCGCAGTGGGATATCTCTGGTGGGAAATCGTTCCCAAGCACGTATTGCACATCCCAGCCCAAGTAACATTGTAAGTTTATAGAGGTTTTAAAGCACTCTACAAGTCTAAATCATGGTTAAACGTGCCCAAATTGTTACTTAGGAGGTAACCAATAAGCCCGCTAATTAGGATTGATTTTGTTATATGAAGCTTACATCGGTATTACAGTATCTTTTGTGCAGAATATGTATAATGGACTTCAGATGTTATTCTAATTGCATATAAAGAGGTACCAGACATGTTTTACACTATTTTGTAACTATGAGAGGTACAGCATACATGCATTTTAGGCTCTTTTGGCGGGTGAAAAAATTAACGTCAATTCTTTTTAGGTTGTCGTTATAGGACGAGGGGGGGGGGTATTTAAAAACAATATTTGTCGCGTTTCAAATTATTTGAACAGGACCGAAAACAGTCTCAATAACTCTTTTTGTAAAATATGTGTGGTCCTGAAAAGGACCAATTGTTAGATCTACACAAATTCCACATCTTTTGTTGTCATCAAGGTCGCTGACTGCTGCTTTTTTACCACACCGTCCACCCGATGCGAAAATGAGCAGATTCACAACAGCATTGCTCTAGCCTGACTGCGCTATTGTTCAGCAGAGGCAGAGGAAAAAAATCTACCTTTTTCTGATTTGCTCCTGGTTCTGCTTGCCACGCCGCCCGAAGCTTTAATGAGCGGAGAAACGACAGCAGAGCTCTTACATAATTTTACAGGTTGAAGCAAAAGGATGCGCAACCAAATGGTACTCGATTATGACGACTTGGTTTGGGGAGAATGTTTATTTCATTAAAATAGTGATAAAATTATCACTTTTCTTTGTACAACTTTCAACGATTTTGTTTGAGAAAATTGGCAAATCATTTATTGTAGTAGATTGTGAGAGTTATTTCCTATCGATTGGTGTATTTGGATCTTAATTTCATCTATAAATGACAAAGTTATAAGCGTTCAAAACCTTACACCTTTTAGTGACGGTCGCAATTTTAGATTTTAGATTTACCCCCAGTACCTTTCCGTAAGACGTAGTCTACATCAAAACAATTTCAGACCAATCACTTTGGTCCAATAACGTCTTTAAAAATTTATAAATTTCAAAATGATCAACCATGTACTGCTCAACAGGAACCGCATGCAGTTCATTCAAACCGCTAAAAACTCAAATCATTTCCATCATTACCCCTTGCAACATTCTTGCATATGTTATACGAACACACTCGCGACCCATTGAACCACCACAGGCCATAACCAGACGACCTGTCAATGTCACTGTTTGACGCACCACGGTGACCTCGTTTATTGAGACGTTTTCAGGAATTTCACGCTGCTCACCCAGAACAAAAGCGTTCAATTTCTGTCCCGACGACGACGACGACGACGATTATGGGATGCTGTTGGCGGCAGCAGCGGTATTCCATATGCAGGCACGATAATTGACTTGTGGAACTGGTTTCTTGTCCCGAAATTGGCCGGGCACACCTTGGAGCATCTTTCTCCGTTATTGGCTCATCATTTCTGCTTGACTTGCATTTTTCTCTTTCTCTCTCTTCAACTGAATAGAGGCATTACATTTGGGTTCGTTTGCGACATTACTCTGCTTTTCGCTTGTATTTGGGCTGAGATCAATTGGCGAAACTAACTGCATCTTTCTTCTTTCTTTCTCATTGCAGTCATTCTTCGGTCGCACGTACAACAATTTGTCATCGATTTCGGAATGCAAAAACAACGGCGAATGTGTCATCAACAAGAAAAATCGCACCGCCTGCAAGGCGTGCCGTCTGCGCAAGTGCCTGGTCGTGGGGATGTCCAAAAGCGGATCCCGATATGGCCGACGGTCGAATTGGTTCAAAATCCATTGTCTGCTGCAAGAGCAGCAGGCCCACAAGAATAACAACAACAATAACAGCCTAACCAGCAACAACAACAACGACACCGGTAGCAGCAATAATAACAGTAACAATGGAAGCAGCAATAACACTTCAAGTTTGCTTCCAAATGGATTTCTTCCGGCCAACTTTCTTTCCAATCTCTGCAACAACAACAATAACAACAACGTCACGCTGAAAAAAGAACTGAAAAGACCCAGTTCGCCAAGTGACTCGGGAGCATCATCCGCCGATCCGGAGGAAAGTTCCAGCTTCAAAGATCCCTTCCTGGCAAGCAATCGTACGATCTCACCCAAGGTTGAAATCCCGGAAGTAACACTAACCAAAATCAGTCCCAAGGTCAGTCGGACTCCCTCCACATCATCGTCCTCAACAAACACCACCACCGACAGCTTCCGACCGCTGATGGATCGAATCTCTCCGTACCTTCCTCACGGCCCCTATCGGCCGGAAGCCACCCCGTACTTCCCCATGCCTTTCGCCATGCCACCGGTGTCTCTTGCCCTGATAACTACCGGCAAGCACGATCACGAACAGCACGAACCGATCGACCTTTCCATGAAATCGAAGTCCTCCAGCTCTTCCGGATCTCCTCTTCGGTTAGGATCGTCCTCTCCCCTCATAGCGGAGGCTAACGACTCGGAAGACCTGCCATCTTCAGCGGACAATGTCCCTCGACCGGTCCCCCTGGATCTCACCTTTTCCCGGTCGAAAGCCTTATCTGGGTGATAGCGAATCGCAACAAAATTACTGTATTCCATACTCAAAGTACTTGTAGTAAGATGTGATTAACTCTAATATGACTAGAACAGCTGTATCGAATCGTAGCAATAAGTTGTACACCGTAAGAACACAGAACCCGAACATGTCAAGTGCCAAAATGTTGCCCATATTGTTCTATTAAAAGTTATCCTCGCATTTATTTGGAAGTTGGAACACGTGGGCATTGATTAGGACAAAGTATCCTAAATTAGTATTAAATTCTCTTGTACTAATACATAGCTAACCATTGGCCAGTCGCAACCGAGCCATTTGCAGACATCTGAAAATGCTCAGTGATTTCACACGTTTAATTGCTTTAATCCAGAACATTGCACATGCACTACTATAGTTAGCGACAGTGGAAACTGTAGCCAGTAAAAGGGACCAATTTGCCAGTTTTAGATTATCAGTCGAAGGAAGAATTAAAAAAAAAATACTCCACCACGACAATCGAAACCACTCTTAATCATATAAGTAGCAAGCGAGATAATAGAATGTAACATAACCTCAACAACAAACAAGGATCGAACCGATCACAATAATGGTGCCAGATGACATTGTACAAATTTTACTCAATAGCAAACATGAAGGTGGAAATCAACCAAGTCTCTGTAGTCTGATGGTACGATTTAGGTCCGCTGATTTCCACTGGTTGATTTGTGAAACGATGCATTTGTTTTTAGTTTTCTAGCCGTACAGACAAGCAGTAGCATTAATGCAGTTGTAGCAGAGTGTTTTTATTGTAACATTACATTTTTATTTATTGATTCGTAGCTCAAGCATTCAGTAGGTAGACTGTAAATGTATCGAATTGTTTTACGGAACATTTGATTGTACTATTTTTGATTGTCTTTCTATTTTTTCTGTCTTATCATCTCATAGTTTTGATTTCAACTGTACATAGGATTTGATTTGTTGTAGTGAAATTTTAGTTTTACAGTCATTAAACTTATTTATGGAAGGTTTTACATTTTTGAAAAAAATAAATGTTTTGTTTCAGTTTTATGAAACGTGTCTATTGTGTTACGAAAGAAAGCTTTATAAGTGCCGTTGGTTTTAAATATTATTCTAGTTGGATTTTCATATGGTAAGTATGAACTAAGGGGTAACCAGGTTTTGAAAAGGAGGGGCTTTTTTATGAATCAAAAGGCCGCATGTCATTCGGTCGCCAATGGATTACCCTAATAAAAATAACCATAAAAGAGAGATTAACAACGTGTTCCGGGTATCATCCAGACCATTTGTGAGTTAGTTTAGGGCCTCCCTTAGCTCAGTCGGTAAAGGCCCAGCTACAAAGCAAGACCATGCTGGATGTGGCTAGGTTCGATTCCCGGTCCGGTGTAGGAATTTTTCGGGTTGGAACAGTTCTCGACTTCCCTGGGCATAGAGTATTTTTTGAACTCTTTATTTGTTCAAATTTCAAAATAAATTACATTTAATTTCAACCTAGCTGATCCAGTTACTACAGTTACTAACCAGCCTTAATTGTTGATATATATCTAAGTGTTTTTACATTATTCCTGGCTTGGAAAATCAGTATTTTAAACAAGTTTTTTTTTAAACCTGCATGTCAGTATAACAATGTACATATTTAAACTAAAAACCAACACAAAATATTATCTAAGTTTAAAATCGTTGCAATGAGGATTGCAACGATTTTTGCCTGAAATTATTAATTATTTTGTTTTAAAGTCTCAACATTCGAAATTCTTTGTCGATAGTATTGTACCAGAGAGGAAACTTCAAAATCATCTTCAGAACTTTGTTCTGAATCCTTTCTCCTGGTAGTGCAACAACTAGACCATATTGGCACAGCGTAAAGCATGGCTGGTCTAAAAACTTGTTTAAATATTAGAAGTTTATTCGTCAGGCAAAGTTTGGATTTCTTGTTTATAAGAGGATACAAACATTTTATATATTTGTTACATTTGGCTTGAATGCCCTCAATGTTATCTTTAAAAGTTAATTTTTGGTCAAGTATTAATCCAAGATATTTCACTTGGTTTAAACAGGAAATTGGAGCTCCGTTCATAGTGACTATGTGACTACTACTAGGTTTCAAAAAGGAAGCTCTAGGCTTATGTGGAAATATTATAAGTTGAGTTTTGGAAGCGTTGGGAGAAATCTTCCATTTTTGTTAATAAGAAGAGAAATATCCAAACTTTTCTGCAGTCTGCTGCAAATAACACGAAGACTTCTTCCTTTAGCGGAAATGCCTGTGTCATCAGCGAACAAAGATTTGTGGCAACCCTGAGGCAAATCAGGGAGGTCCGAAGTGAAAATGTTATATAATATAGGCCCAAGAATGCTACCCTCAGGAACTCCTGCTCTAACAGGTAGTCGATTAGATTTGGAATTTTGAAAATTTACCTGCAGAGTTCTGTCAGTTGAATAATTTTGAACTAATTTCATAATATAAAGTGGAAAATTAAACTTTTTCAATTTAGCAATCAAACCTTCATGCCAAACACTGTCGAATGCTTTTTCTATGCCTAGAAGAGCAACTCCAGTTGAGAAGCCTTCAGATTTGTTTGAACGAATTAAATTGGTAACTCATAAGAGTTGATGAGTAGTTGAATGCCCATGGCGAAATTCAAACTGCTCATCTGCAAAAATTGAGTTCGTATTGATGTGAAGCATCATTCTGTTTAAATTATCTTTTCAAAACGTTTACTTTTTGAAGAAAGCAAACTTATTGGACGGTAGCTAGAATTTTCAGCTGGATTTTTTCCGGCTTCAAAATTGGAACAACTTTTGCATTTTTCCATTTATCAGGAAAGTATGCCAAATGGAAACATCTGTTAAATAATTTTACCAAGAAAGACAAGATACTCTCTGGCAGTTTTTTTATGAGGATATAAAAAATTTCATCATCACCTGGAGCTTTCATATGATGAAACTTTTTAGTTATAGACCTTACTTCGTCCAAATCAGTCCCCCAGGAATCATTAAAAATATTTTCCCGTGAGAAAATATTCAGATAATCCCGAGCAACCTGATTCTCAATAGGACTAGTAAGACCCAAACTGAAATTATGGGAACTCTCGAATTGCTTAGTAAGTTTCTGGGCTTTTTCCAAATTTGTGATCAAAATTTTACCACCTTCTTTAAGCGCTGGAATTGGCTTTTGAGGTTTTTTCAAAAAAATTTGTAAGTTTCCAAAAAAGTTTGGAACTCGGGTCTAATTTAGAAACATTATTTTCAAAAGTTTTGTTCCTCAGGGCAGAGAATCGTTTTTTAATTTGTTTTTGTAAATCTTGCCAGATAACTTTCATGGCAGGATCGCGTGTTCTTTTTTATTGTCTCCTACGGACATTTTTAAGACGGATCAAGAGCTGAAGATCGTCGTCTATTATAATTGAATCGAATTTAACCTCGCATTTTGATACTGAGGCAGCTCTTGCTTCAACTATAGAAGTAGTCAGAGATTCAAGAGCATAATTAATTTCATCTTTGGTTTGCAAAGGAATGTTTGGATCGAAGCTATATTCCATAAATGTTCGATATTGCTCCCAATTAGCTCTATGGTAGTTGAAAATAGAGCTGTTGGGATTACAAATTATTTCTTGGGATATTTCAAAAGTTACTGGAAGGTGATCAGAACCGAAGTCAGCATGGGTAACCAATTGGCTACAAAGTTGACATGAATCAGTTAAGACCAAATCAATAGTGGAGGGATTTCTTGCAGAAGAAAAGCATGTTGGGCTGTTTGGATATTTTTTTTTCCTTTGGTTTGTTTTTTCCGTCGATCTTGTTTTCCGTGCTGAGTACCAATTCTACCGACGTGCCAGGAAGGCAGCTCTCACACCTGGACCCTACTTATCGACCCATCCACTCATGAACCGGGGACCAACGGCTTTACTTCCCATCCGAAAGAAGGCGTGATCAGAGATGTTATGCCTCAGAACATTCCTGCGGCGCCGACTGGTATTGAACCCAGGCCTGCTGGGGTGAGAGGTAATCACGCTTACCACTGCACCACCGGTGCCGTTGACTGTTTGGATATTGAATAGTTTAATAACCTGCATAACAATCATCAAACAGAATATTTCCATTGGAATTGCTTTGAGCATTATTCCATGAGCGGTGTTTTGCATTAAAATCGCCAATAATGAAGAATTTAGACCTATGACGGGTAAATTTTTGAAGGTCACCTTTGAGAAAATTCTTTTGCTGGCCTACGCATTGGAATAGCAAATAGGCAGCTATAAAAGTAAGTTGTCCAAATTTTGTTTCAACAGAAACTCCCACAGTTTCAAAAACTTTGGTTTCAAATGAAGAAAGACTTTCATGTTTGATTCGTCTATGAACAATTATGGCATCGACACCACAGGCTCCATCAAGACGATCATTTCTATAAATGAAATAATTTGCATCCGTCTTAACCTTATGGTCAGGTTTAAGGAACAGTGCAGTGTCTCTTAAATTCTGTAAGTTTTTCTGAACGTTTGATATGTCTAGACATCGAATTGAAAACATTTATTCCTTTAAAATATAATGAATTTTGTGAAGCACAAGTCAAAAAATGTGGTGTCCTTATTTCAACCACGTTTCTAGAGTTATATCTATGAAAATCACTTCCTCTTTCAATTCGATCACACAAATATCGAGGAAGCAATCCATTAACTACTTTAATAATAATTATTATTATTATTATTATTATTATTATTATTTAATTTTATTCATCGGACTATTGTCTACATGAAACAACCTTAAAGCTAAAACAATTCAAGTGTTTCTAATCTGTGCCAAAAAGCGAGATGAAGATTCCCCAAATTCGAATAATTCTTCGACAGCCGTAAACGTACGCATCATAGTTGTTAGTGGTTCGCTGTAACCGAACGCCGTTCGATGGTACCGCGGTTGGAGAAGGGTACCACTTCGTATTGTTCTCGGTGGTACTCGGATATCCAACAGCGAGAGAAGCCTCGAGCAGTCGACCTCACCATTCAATAGCTTGGCAACAAAAACTGCTTGCTGATTTTTTCGTCGGCATTCCAGAGTATCCAAGCTCAGCAGATTGCAGCGATCAGAATACGGCGGGAGATTTTGCGGATCACGCCATGGTAGATTACGTAATGCTATCCTGATAAACTTGCACTGAACACTTTCGATCCTCAAGCTCCAAGTCAACTGATGAGGAAACCAGACCAAGGAGGCATTTTCCAGGATTGGTCGCACAAGTGAGCAATAGAGAGCTTTCAGGCAGTGTGGGTCAATGAAGTCCTTCGATATTTTCGACACAAAACCTAGCTGGCGATTCGCCTTTGTGATCAGAGCAGAGCGGTGGAGGTTGAACGTCAACTTATGGTCCAGTAGAACACCAAGATCGCTGAACTGGTCAGTTCTTTGAAGAACCACACCGTTAATGGCATAGTCAAAAACAATCGGCTGGCTGATGCGGTAATACGACATTACCATACATTTAGGAATGCTGAGGGTAAGCTTATTCCGACGACACCAATCAACGAACAGATCCAATACCGATTGAAGACGAATGCAATCCTCAGCAGTCCGCACCACGAAGTACAGCTTTAGGTCATCGGCATACGCAAGCTTACAGCCATCTCCAAGTAGAAGAAGTGCGTCGTTGATGTACAACACAAACAGCAACGGGCCAAGATTGCTACCCTGTGGTACACCTGACGAGTTCGTGAAATACGAGGAAGTACTGGAATCGAGTTTCACTCGCAGAGACCTGTCAGTCAAGTAGGAGCACAACCACGAAGTCAAACGGTCCGACGCACCGAGTTTGGATAGCTTTGCCAACATAATGTCATGGTTGATCGTGTCA